AAAACCTGTGTTGAAAGAAGTACAGTCAGAATGTTCCTTAGAAGCCAGGACGGCCAGACTTCGTCTCTCATACTTCGGCCATATTAGCAGGAGGGACCAGTCCCTGGAGAAGGACATCATGCTTGGTAAAATGGAGGGTCGGAGAAAAGAGGAAGACCCCCAACGAGATGGATTGGCACAACAGTGGTAACAATGGGCTCGAGTGTAGCAGCAATCGAGAGGTTGGTGCAGGATTGGACGGTGGTTTGTTCGGCAGAACACAGGGTCGCTGTGAGTCGGAACCGACTTGATGGTCCTTAACAACAACAACAACAATATGGATTAGAACACCACGTGAAGAAAGTGAAAACCCAGACAGGTAGAAAAACAAACCTCATCATGATAAGCAGAGAAAAGACCGAAGTTGTCAAGGATTTCATTTTACCTGGAGTCACAATCAACGGTCATGAAAGCAAACCACGTATTGCACTGGGAACACTTGTTGCTGCAAACCTTTTAAAGTGTTAGAAAAGCGATCACTTTCAGGATTAAGATGGCTCTTACACAAGCCATGGCATTTTCAGTCAGCTCATGTGCATGTGAAAGTTGGGCAATTAATAAAACTGGAGACCAACCGATGCACTTGAATTTCAGTTGGCACAGAATACTCACAGAACAATGGGAGAACAAATCAGTCTGTCTTGAAAGGAGCACAGCCAGAGTTTTCCTAAAAGCAAGGATGGTGAGACCTTGTCTCATGTACTCTGGACATGGTTTCAAGAGAGGCCAGTGCTTGGGCAAGGACATCACCCTGGTCAAGTAGAAAGTCAGTGAAAAGGGCCCACAACAAGGTGGCTGACACCAGGGCTGCTGCAATGGGCCGGAACATGACAGTAATGACGAGGACAGCTGTGCGTGAGTCGGCGGTGACTCGATGACACGTACAAACACTAGGCCTGGAATCTGGAGACGTGCAGGAGCATAGCTCCCTAGAAGTAAGGTAGGCCTGGGCTTACCTGTGCTCACTTTCTAAGCTATAGTGAACTAGTCCACGTTTTCACCACAACACATATTTTGCTTCTAGGCACGGCTGGTATGGAGTGCTGGTGGGGCGCTGTGAGTTAATGCACTGGACTGTAAAGTCGCTTTGAGCCACAAAGTCGGCGGTTCAAGCTCACCAGCTGCTCCTTAGAAACCCTACACAGAGTTGCTGTGGGTCGGAATCGACTCGACGACACTTGAAGACAACAACAACTCTCTTTTCATCTTCCCTCTCCCTGGTCTCCCTGGTTTCTCTAAGGTGTTTTTTTATTTTTTAATTCTTCCTTTTATTTTCTCTCCTATAATTCCATTTTCCTATCTCTCTTTTCTCTTTTTAGTTATTATACACTTTTTCTTTTGGTCACTGCCTGATTTTATTTATTTTCTCCTTTATTATTTCCTTTTTTCAATGTAGGTTGCTTGTCTATTCTGTTTACTTTACTGGGGTGTGTGTGTGTGGGGGGGGTGTTCTTCTCTTTCCCACCAGATAGAAGGCAACTAACTGTGACCACACAGCCCAGTCACAACTGTGCCCTCTGCAGCTCCAGCAGCTAGGCAGAGCCGGTGCCAGCTTCTCTACTGGCTGATCAGCGGCAGCAGTCAAACCCAGCCGACACTGAGGTGCCGAGCCTCCATCCACGGGGGACCGTGAGAGTCTAACACAGCATTAAAATCATCAAATAAATACAAACACGACAACATGACAGTGTCTGGAAACCACAGGCAATTTTAGCTCACGTGAAGAAATGAGAGAACAGCTCAAACAGATGACCAAGATGCAGAGCTAGAAAACATTTCTGAAGGAGAAAAGGTAATGGAACTACCTGAAAATAAATCCAAACGGATGTTTAGGTCCCTTCAGAGGACCAGCAGGAAGACTGAGCAAAGCAACGAGAACCCAGAAAAAACACCGTGAAGAATTCAGGAAAACACAAGAACAGAAAGACAAAATAAATGCCAACTGATAAGACTCATTTGACCTAGCTTGGATGGCTAGCTGACCGGAACTGGACCAGATGAAGATAAAGACGTTTCATGCTGCGAGCAAGAGTAAATTGCTACAATTTGATGAACTAGACTTTTGCTTATGGATACAGTTGCTCAAAATTCCAACCCAATTGGAAGGAGTCTTCCTATCAAGCATCAAGCTTGTTTCCTCAGCGCACTGGGTTGATAGGGACAGGCAACTGGACACTGGCTAACAAAAATGGGGGGCGGCAATCAAGGCACGAAGTGGCTGACTTATCAGCTTTTAGGAGTGTACCTGGCTTCAGAATGAGGGGGGTAAGGCAGAATCTCCACTGAATAGTTTTCCATTTTTTCACAGGGATCTGGTAGAAGGGGATGAGGGATGATGGTGACAGGGTTTTATGATTCATTTGTGAGTAATTGTTAGCAGGATTATCTGAGATCTTCACAACTGTAATTTTAGAAAATGTGTAATTGGAAGTGGGGAGAAGTTAATCTTTCATTTCAGGAACAGAGGGTCCCCAGGACGATCAAGAAGGAAGAGCAGGAGTGGAGCGGGAGATAATGCCCTAAAAAGCAGCGACAGCAGAGACGGTGGCAGAGGTGATGGCGTGGAGAGAGAGAGCCGCTGAGGGTGTGGAGAGAGAGCCACTGAGGGCGTGGAGAGAGAGCCGCGGAGGGCGCGGAGAGAGAGCCGCGGAGGGCGCGGAGAGAGAGCCGCGGAGGGCGCGGAGAGAGAGCCGCTGAGGGCTCTGGGCCCGTAGACTGAGAAAGGCGGTGGGCCTACGGGCAGGAGGCAGTCTTGCAAAGTGTGCCCTTT